CATACATATCTTCTTTTTTCCTACAATATTTATTATATTTTTAGGGACTTGTTTCATGAATGATCATATATTTTTTTCACATGTATAAGTTATCTTTAGTTTCTTATTTACGCATTTCAAAATGGCAGAGAATATAAAACATTTTTACTACTTTACAGCATAATAAATTCAAAATGTGCTTCGTAAGATCATGGTGTTAAGCTGAAAACGTTTGCAGATCTTAAAACAAACATTGCTCAGCAATTATAATAATTAGTGATTAATCAATAATTAATTTTTCTACTGTATAGAAAATAATGAATTTGTTTTACTTTTTTGTTTCTATATTTGTTCATTTGGACCTTGTTTATTAATCGGACTTTTTATACTGTTGTAGTTTCTGACTAACAAAGAGAGGATGTATTAGTTAAAATGCAAAACTAAATATAAATGAAATAAATGAAAAACAAAATTTCTTTATTTTGATTATTATAAAACTCTTGTCTCCCCTTAAAAATTAAATTAAATTTTTGCCATTTTACAATAATTAATAATATAAAAAGCTTTTTAATTAAAATGTCTTAACAGATAGCGCCACAACCAATTTTAACTTTATTGCCGGAAAAGTTGAACAACTCTTTGCTGGAATTAAATATAAATACCAGTAATTTATAACTTGATGGCATTTTATTAAATAGTTATATTTCAAAATAAATATATCTCGATAAATGGCTGAGACTTCACATTTTCTACGTTATTGAAGAGGGAGTTAAAGGCTTGATATCGAGTAAGGATTCAATCATATACAAGAGTTTTTTAGACTCATTTTGACCGTTGTAATTTCCTCATTCGCATTGTATACTTTCATTTAAGGTTAATTGTACAGCTAGTTCTTTTATGTTGTGTATTTTTTTATTGTTCTTCATGTTGTCTTTGGTATATATGTAATGGAAAATAATAATTATTGGAATCTTTATCGTAAGTCTTTTGTCATTACATGATCTACTCTGTCTTTGTGTTTTCCATTTCAGTATTCTTGTTTAGTAATAAGTTAAGTTTATGACTAGTTTTAAGATAGTAATAAGTTTGATTTAATACAGTTTTAAGTTTTAGTATATTCACAGTTTCTCCTAGTTGCTTCAGTTACGTTATTCAAATTATAATAAAGCTTGCTAGCTTAGTTTCTGTATTATTTTAGTATTAGTTTGAAGCATTTACTTTAATTTTAAGCTTTAAACTTTACTATGTCTAGCTTTTATGTATCTGCACTACTTACTAATGTATGCTACAATTCAGATTATGTTTTAGGCCTACGTCTTTGCGGCCTGAAAACTGCAAACCAACAATAATCATAGAGGGAGTTGTAACCTTTTGACACCGCTTAGAGTAATCCATTTTTTCTTCTTTCATTTTTCTCTCCCTACTATTTCGCTTTCGTTTTTTCCTCCCCTTGTTCCGCCAGTTAAACACTTAGTGTAAGGCCGTTCTTTGGTTAAAAAAATAACATTGATTATGCAAGATTGTATTTCGTTTCCAGAGAAGAACGTGTTACATTTGATAGCTACACGAAGCATTTCTAGAAATTGAGAAAAATAAAGGAAGAAAACTTGTCTAACAATTAATGTTTTAAATTTATAATTGTACAAACAAATCTAAAGGCAAACCGTTGAAAACTGATACTGTTTGCAAGCATATCTCAAGAATATATGCAGACAATAATCGTCTCATTTGGCAAGAGCAACTATACGAGTGTAAAAACGTGGTAGCAATCAGATCGATAACCTAATTCATGCGCTTTCGAAGTGACAATTGCTGGTTTATGCTGGTTTTTATAACAATTTCGAAAGAGATACGGTTTACAGTTAAAGAAGGAGGTTCTCCATTGCCTTAAGTTGTTTTTCCTTTTCTCCAGTTGAATGGCCAAAAAATACCATAAAAGAGACTTTACACAGAAAATCCTACATTACGATGACAAAACCACTTTTTAACCATCACGATAGACTGCTGTCATCAATTTCTCATATAGGCCTACTATGATTTAAATTTACTTTTTATATATTATATTAAAAGTAAATTCCGTGTAAAAAATTAAAATCTATGAATAACTATATTAAAAATAGATAACTTGTTTTTGCACAAGACATTTTATAACCAATCAATGTAGAGTTCATTACGTATTTATACTCGATATTTCAATAACAAATTTCATGCAAATACAGCATTTCTGGATGTTTTTGCCTCATATACGTAAGTACGATTCTTTTAAATATTATCCTATGTATTGTTTTTATTGTCCGTACAAGAAATTATTAAGTTCAGGTCGTATTAATAAGACCTATTGTACTGGTGTTCGGTTTCTGCAACTGAGGAAAACTTATTGAGAGTAAATAGTCTTTATTGTTCACTTGACATTTTACCTATTTGATTTTATAATGATATATAAATTAATTATTAGATTTTATTACTAACAGATAATTTTTTAATTTCAGATTGTTCAATATGAAAAAATCTTTTGGCAAATTTAATTTTACAACAATTCCAATGATGAAATTCGAAACATTCTTCGAAAAAGAAACAACCAAAATCTGGTTTAGGAGTAATTGGTATTATTCTGTTCATATTTTTATATTTTACTTATTTTTTATATTTTCAATGCAGAAATTTATGAAGAATCGTAAAGCTTTGCAATTAAAGACACCATTGATTCTCTGGAACACGGTACTGGCATTATACAGCATTGCTTCTACCATAAGATTACTTCCCGCATTAATTCAAGTAATTTACAAATTAGGATTCACTTATTCGGTTTGTATATCGGAACCACTTGCGGAAGTATTTCCTCATGCCATATTCTGGACAGTACTGTTTGCAATCTCTAAATTAATTGAGCTATGCGATACAGTATTTATAGTTCTGAGAAAAAAAAAGTTAATTTTTCTTCATTGGTTTCATCACGTTGTTACGTTCATAGTTACATGGTATTCGACGAATAGCCTTGTCGGTGTCATAACCTGGCTTATCACGATGAATTGTTTTGTGCATTCGTTAATGTACACGTATTACGCAATAACCTCATATGGAATTAAGTTGCCACGATATGTTGCCATGTTCGTCACGTGTATACAAACATTGCAGATGATAACTGCGGCATTCGTACTCGTTTGGGCTACTTTGAGTAAATGGAGCGGGTACGAATGTGATTTTAATGATACAGCAATAACAGTATACTTTGTTGTATGTGTTATGTACTTGTTCTTATTTATTCGATTGTTTTACATTTCTTATATCTCAAACTCTACCATTAAATTTAAAAAAAATTAATGTCATTCAAAATATCGTTTATTATTGTAATAAAATAAATTTTTGTATAGTGTTATGTGATTAAATAAATCAAAATTTTACATGAAAATTTTGTATAGTCACATTATCGTTTTTTTAATCTTTATTGTTAGATTGCGAAAAATTAANATACCAGTAATTTATAACTTGATGGCATTTTATTAAATAGTTATATTTCAAAATAAATATATCTCGATAAATGGCTGAGACTTCACATTTTCTACGTTATTGAAGAGGGAGTTAAAGGCTTGATATCGAGTAAGGATTCAATCATGTACAAGAGTTTTTTAGACTCATTTTGACCGCTGTAATTTCCTCATTCGCATTGTATACTTCCATTAAGGTTAATTGTACAGCTAGCTCTTTTATGTTGTGTATTTTTTATTGTTCTTCATGTTGTCTTTAGTATATATGTAATGGAAAATAATAATTATTGGAATCTTGATCGTAAGTCTTTTGTCATCGCATGATCTATTCTGTCTTGTTGTTGTCTTTGTCAGCATTCTTGTTTAGTTATAACTTAATTTTATAACTAGTTTTAGTAATAAGTTTGATTTAAGATAGTTTTAAGTTTTAGTATATTCAGAAATTCTTCTAGTTGCTTCAGTTACGTTATTCAGATTATAATAAAGCTTGCTAGCTTAGTTTCTGTGTTATTTTAGTATTAGTTTGAAGCTTTTACTTTAAGCTTTAAATTTTACTCTGTCTAGCTTTTATGTAGCTGCACTACTTACTAATGTATGTTACAATTCAAATTATCTTTTAGGTCTACGGCTTTGCAACTTGAAAGGAGAACGCCAATAATAATAATAGAGGAAGTTGTAACCTTCTGTACACCGCTTAGACGCCTTAGAGTAATACTTTTTTTCTTTTATTTCAGTCTTCTCTCCGTACAATTTCCGTTTTTCTCTTTCTTCCCTTTGTTTCCGCCGGTTAAACACTTTCTCTACGGCCGTTCTTTGGTTTAAAAAATTGGCATTAATTATGCAAGGTTGTATTTTGTTTCCAGAGAAGAACGCGTTACATATGGTAGCTGCACAAAACATTTCTAGAAATTAAGTAAAATAAAGAAAGAAAACTTATCTAACAATTAATATCTTAAATCTATAATTGTAATAAAAAATCTAAAGACAAACCATTGAAAACTGTTTGCGAACATATCTCACCAATATACGCAGACAATAATCATCTCATTTGGCAAGAGCAACGACACGAGTGTAAAAACGTGGTAGCAATCAGATCGATAACCTAATCCATGCGCTTTCTTCGTGACAATTGCTGGTTTTTATAACAATTTCGAAAAGGATAGAGTTTGGAGTTAAAGAAGCAGGTTCTCCATTGCCTTAAATTGTTGTTTTTCCTTTTCTCCAGTTGAACGGCCAAAAAATACCATAAAGGAAACTTTACACACAAAATCCTACACTATTAGCGATGACAAAACCACTTTTTAACCATCACGATAGACAGTTGCCATCAATTTCTCATATACTATGACATAAATTTACTTTTTATATATTATATTAGTAGTAAAATCCGTGTAAAAATTACAATCTAAGCATAACTAAATTAGAAATAGATATCTTGTTTTTGCACAAGATATTTCATAACCAATCAATGTAGAGATCATTACGTATTTATACTCGACTTTTCAATAACAAATTTCATTCAAATACAGCATTTCTGGGTGTTTTTGCCTCTTATACGTAAGTACAATTCATTTAAATATAGTCTTATGTATTGTTTATATAGTTCGTATAAGAAATTATTAAGTTCATAAAAAATTAAACAGCAATTCAATTTTGAACACAACTCATCTTGTATATTTTAGAATTAAATTTTTTTAGAGCATTTATATTCATATTCAGATTAATACTGCCAACATTTAAATGATAATTTGAAAATCTATCAAACCTCTAAACAACGGACATTGACAGGAAAAAAATATAAGAACTGCCATTAGATCGGTGTGTTTAAAAATTATTTTGTTTGGGTTGTTATTTAAAAAAATCTATCTGAAAAAATGGCTGTTTAATTAATAGTGTCCGTTATTGGATGTTCGACTGTTATTTCTAGTTTTTACTTTTTATTGAATGAAACAGTTATTCGATTTATTATATAAAATCCACTAGGAGAGATGGTATTCATAGCACCTATTGTACTGGTGTTCGGTTTCTGCACCTGAGAAAAACTTATTCAGAGTAGATAGTCTTTATTGTTTACTTGACATTTCATCTATTTGTTTTCATAATGATATGAATGAATTATTGGATTTAATTACTAACAGAATTTTATAATTTCAGGTTGTCCAATATGAAAGAATCTTTCGGAAAATTTAATTTTACAACAATTCCAATGATGAAATTTGAAACATTCTTCGAAAAAGAAACAACCAAACTCTGGTTTAGGAGCAATTGGCATTACTCTGTTCATATTTCAATATTCTACTTATTTTTTATATTTTCCATGCAGAAATTTATGAAGAACCATAAAGCTTTGCAATTAAAGAAACCATTGATTATGTGGAACATGGCACTGGCATTATACAGCATTGCTTCTACCATAAGATTTATTCCCGTACTCATTCAAGTAATTTACAAATTAGGATTTACTTATTCGGTTTGTATATCGGAACCGCTTGCGGAAGTATTTCCTCATGCCATATTCTGGACAGTACTGTTTGCAATCTCTAAATTAATTGAGCTGTGCGATACAGTATTTATAGTTCTGAGAAAAAGAAAGTTAATTTTTCTTCATTGGTTTCATCACGTTGTTACGTTCATAGTTACGTGGTATTCGACAAAAAGCCTTGTCGGTGTCATAACCTGGCTTATCACGATGAATTGCTTTGTGCATTCGTTAATGTACACGTATTACGCAATAACCTCATACGGAATTAAATTGCCACGATATGTTGCCATGTTCGTCACGTGTATACAAACATTGCAGATGATAACTGCTATATTTGTAGTCGTTTGGGCTACTTTGAGTAAATGGAGCGGGTACGAATGTGATATTCATGATACAGCAATAACAGTATACTTTGTTGTATATGTTATGTACTTTTACTTGTTTATTCAATTGTTTTATAATTCTTATATCTCAAACTCGAGCATTAAATTTAAAAAATTTTAATGTCGTTCAAGTTATCTTTTATTATGTTAATAAATAAATTTTTGTGTTATGTGATTAAATAAATCAAAATTTTACATGAAAATTTTGTATTGTCATATTATCGTTTTTTAATCTTTATTGTTAGACTGCAAAAAATTAATATTTGGATATGATACTTCTGCATATATTTAAAATTTAATGGTAACTGCTTTATTAGCATTGTAAAGTGCCATCGAGAAGTTGCTCTGCAATTAGCTTATATATGGAAACAGCTTCCAGAACAGAGTAATGATGTCACTGTAGATTGCCATTGAAACAGTTAAATTTACCACGTTTCCGCTGTGTCGAATCACATGATCGAGGCGTAATGTGGTGCGGCTTTACGATCGCAGTGCATAAAAATTTTTAAAATATATTGTGGCCAGAAGAGCGAGGCGGTTAAAATGACAACTCTGGGAGACCAGAAATCACATCTGGGTGAACAACTTCTGAATATTTTTTTATTCTCCCGAATACAGCGGCTCCGTTGTCCGTATCACTCGATCACCAACGTTGTCTAGCCGAATATCAATTTCGAAAGACAAATTCTTTAAATATGCTAATTAAATGACTATTGTAAGAAATTTTAAAAATCGGTCTGTGAGGCTTCGATATTGACGTTGAGATAATTAAAATCCGATTGAAAAGTGTGACATCTAAATGCTAACCATTCTGGCGGTTATAATAAACATAGAGTATCATTCTGTGACATGTATTATCACCAGCATCATTTCTGTTGAATAATTAAAATCCTGAATCGTTTCTAATCGAAGAGTCTACAGAAGGGGCAAATGGAAAAGAAAAACCAAATTCCTGCCTAGTTGTAAAAGCGAAATACGTAATTGAATATCTTCGGATACTGACACCACAGCGGTAAAAAATTATTATATAACATGTTGTTTACATGTGTGAGAGCATATGAGTGCTCCTCTAAATGTGAACAAATTCTTAATATTTTACTAATTAGTTGCTTTTAATGTGTGTCAGGTTTTACGTTATAGTAAACCTTTCACAAAGACGTTGTCGACATTTAATTTGCATCTATTAGGCCACGATATGTATTTAAATGGTTTCAAAACTCAAATAATTTTGTATAATTCGAAAATGAAGAATATCTGCTATTTGTTTCTTTGGTTATTTGTGGTGTTTGGAGGAGCGTGTCAAAATTTAACATTTTTTTTTTTTCGATGCTGAGTAGAAATAATGAAGAATGGCCTGGCGGTTAATGTGTCTGTATATCGTTCTAAACGTTATTTTATTTATTTATTTATTTATTTTGTGAAATGTATTCCATTGACATTTTTGGGATTATCTCATCACTCATTATTTTCACATGTTTATACCAAATACTTTATAAGTTGATGAGATACAGCAACCCTGTCTTAGTCCTTTTGATATCATATATCCTTCTGATATTTTTTTTCCAATTTTTATTTTCTTTGTGGATTCGCATTGTAATTATTTAACTGCTTTCTGTCTTTGGGCTATTGTTTCGTGAGTTTGATATAAATGGGGTTTAGCACAATTTAAAAAAAAGCTATACTATTTTCACTGTGTTTTACACGTGTAAACATTTTAAAAGGTTCATCTAACCTGATTTTCTGTCTTTGCACGCTAATTTTTATATTCGTCTTAATATTAGTTGCATTCACTTTCCTTTTATGTGGCTTTCTATAGAAAACGTTCTTTTTTGCTACATGACGAATATCTTTCAGTCAACACGAAGTAATTTTCTTTTTCACATCTAACATACATATCTTCTTTTTTCCTACAATATTTATTATATTTTTAGGGACTTGTTTCATGAATGATCATATATTTTTTTCACATGTATAAGTTATCTTTAGTTTCTTATTTACGCATTTCAAAATGGCAGAGAATATAAAACATTTTTACTACTTTACAGCATAATAAATTCAAAATGTGCTTCGTAAGATCATGGTGTTAAGCTGAAAACGTTTGCAGATCTTAAAACAAACATTGCTCAGCAATTATAATAATTAGTGATTAATCAATAATTAATTTTTCTACTGTATAGAAAATAATGAATTTGTTTTACTTTTTTGTTTCTATATTTGTTCATTTGGACCTTGTTTATTAATCGGACTTTTTATACTGTTGTAGTTTCTGACTAACAAAGAGAGGATGTATTAGTTAAAATGCAAAACTAAATATAAATGAAATAAATGAAAAACAAAATTTCTTTATTTTGATTATTATAAAACTCTTGTCTCCCCTTAAAAATTAAATTAAATTTTTGCCATTTTACAATAATTAATAATATAAAAAGCTTTTTAATTAAAATGTCTTAACAGATAGCGCCACAACCAATTTTAACTTTATTGCCGGAAAAGTTGAACAACTCTTTGCTGGAATTAAATATAAATACCAGTAATTTATAACTTGATGGCATTTTATTAAATAGTTATATTTCAAAATAAATATATCTCGATAAATGGCTGAGACTTCACATTTTCTACGTTATTGAAGAGGGAGTTAAAGGCTTGATATCGAGTAAGGATTCAATCATATACAAGAGTTTTTTAGACTCATTTTGACCGTTGTAATTTCCTCATTCGCATTGTATACTTTCATTTAAGGTTAATTGTACAGCTAGTTCTTTTATGTTGTGTATTTTTTTATTGTTCTTCATGTTGTCTTTGGTATATATGTAATGGAAAATAATAATTATTGGAATCTTTATCGTAAGTCTTTTGTCATTACATGATCTACTCTGTCTTTGTGTTTTCCATTTCAGTATTCTTGTTTAGTAATAAGTTAAGTTTATGACTAGTTTTAAGATAGTAATAAGTTTGATTTAATACAGTTTTAAGTTTTAGTATATTCACAGTTTCTCCTAGTTGCTTCAGTTACGTTATTCAAATTATAATAAAGCTTGCTAGCTTAGTTTCTGTATTATTTTAGTATTAGTTTGAAGCATTTACTTTAATTTTAAGCTTTAAACTTTACTATGTCTAGCTTTTATGTATCTGCACTACTTACTAATGTATGCTACAATTCAGATTATGTTTTAGGCCTACGTCTTTGCGGCCTGAAAACTGCAAACCAACAATAATCATAGAGGGAGTTGTAACCTTTTGACACCGCTTAGAGTAATCCATTTTTTCTTCTTTCATTTTTCTCTCCCTACTATTTCGCTTTCGTTTTTTCCTCCCCTTGTTCCGCCAGTTAAACACTTAGTGTAAGGCCGTTCTTTGGTTAAAAAAATAACATTGATTATGCAAGATTGTATTTCGTTTCCAGAGAAGAACGTGTTACATTTGATAGCTACACGAAGCATTTCTAGAAATTGAGAAAAATAAAGGAAGAAAACTTGTCTAACAATTAATGTTTTAAATTTATAATTGTACAAACAAATCTAAAGGCAAACCGTTGAAAACTGATACTGTTTGCAAGCATATCTCAAGAATATATGCAGACAATAATCGTCTCATTTGGCAAGAGCAACTATACGAGTGTAAAAACGTGGTAGCAATCAGATCGATAACCTAATTCATGCGCTTTCGAAGTGACAATTGCTGGTTTATGCTGGTTTTTATAACAATTTCGAAAGAGATACGGTTTACAGTTAAAGAAGGAGGTTCTCCATTGCCTTAAGTTGTTTTTCCTTTTCTCCAGTTGAATGGCCAAAAAATACCATAAAAGAGACTTTACACAGAAAATCCTACATTACGATGACAAAACCACTTTTTAACCATCACGATAGACTGCTGTCATCAATTTCTCATATAGGCCTACTATGATTTAAATTTACTTTTTATATATTATATTAAAAGTAAATTCCGTGTAAAAAATTAAAATCTATGAATAACTATATTAAAAATAGATAACTTGTTTTTGCACAAGACATTTTATAACCAATCAATGTAGAGTTCATTACGTATTTATACTCGATATTTCAATAACAAATTTCATGCAAATACAGCATTTCTGGATGTTTTTGCCTCATATACGTAAGTACGATTCTTTTAAATATTATCCTATGTATTGTTTTTATTGTCCGTACAAGAAATTATTAAGTTCAGGTCGTATTAATAAGACCTATTGTACTGGTGTTCGGTTTCTGCAACTGAGGAAAACTTATTGAGAGTAAATAGTCTTTATTGTTCACTTGACATTTTACCTATTTGATTTTATAATGATATATAAATTAATTATTAGATTTTATTACTAACAGATAATTTTTTAATTTCAGATTGTTCAATATGAAAAAATCTTTTGGCAAATTTAATTTTACAACAATTCCAATGATGAAATTCGAAACATTCTTCGAAAAAGAAACAACCAAAATCTGGTTTAGGAGTAATTGGTATTATTCTGTTCATATTTTTATATTTTACTTATTTTTTATATTTTCAATGCAGAAATTTATGAAGAATCGTAAAGCTTTGCAATTAAAGACACCATTGATTCTCTGGAACACGGTACTGGCATTATACAGCATTGCTTCTACCATAAGATTACTTCCCGCATTAATTCAAGTAATTTACAAATTAGGATTCACTTATTCGGTTTGTATATCGGAACCACTTGCGGAAGTATTTCCTCATGCCATATTCTGGACAGTACTGTTTGCAATCTCTAAATTAATTGAGCTATGCGATACAGTATTTATAGTTCTGAGAAAAAAAAAGTTAATTTTTCTTCATTGGTTTCATCACGTTGTTACGTTCATAGTTACATGGTATTCGACGAATAGCCTTGTCGGTGTCATAACCTGGCTTATCACGATGAATTGTTTTGTGCATTCGTTAATGTACACGTATTACGCAATAACCTCATATGGAATTAAGTTGCCACGATATGTTGCCATGTTCGTCACGTGTATACAAACATTGCAGATGATAACTGCGGCATTCGTACTCGTTTGGGCTACTTTGAGTAAATGGAGCGGGTACGAATGTGATTTTAATGATACAGCAATAACAGTATACTTTGTTGTATGTGTTATGTACTTGTTC